ATATTGGAGCATTATTCAAAGTGTTTTTGAGCTTTCTTAGAAATAAGTGGTGGATATAAGTTGGGGGTAAAGCACAAAGTTGGATGTGTGGAGATGGAGTTACTACAATTGAAATGTATTACAGGAGATTGTTTGGACACTAAATAACACCTGCAGGCAGAGTCGTCTCTAGAGTTTGCGAGGCCTTAGGCGAAAACCGTACAGAGCCCTGGTTTAACCAGGGCTCTGTGAGGTCTCACCAGGGCTATGTGAGGCCTCACCAGCCTAGGTAGACCCCACAGAGCCCTGGTGACGCCCTACAGAGCCCTGGTTTAACCAGGGCTCTGTATGGGGTCACACCGGGGTTCTTTGGGGTCTCAACCAGGGCTCTGTGGGGTCTCACCAGCCTGATTAGACCTCAAAGAGCCCTGGTTAATCCAGGGCGCTGTGGGGTCTCCCTGGGGCTCTGTAGGGTCTCCCCAGGGCTATGTGGGGCCTCACCAGCCTGGTTAGACCCACAGAGCCCTTGCGAGACCATACAGAGCCTTGGTTTAACCAGAGGTCTGTAGGGTCTCACCAGGGCTCTTTGGGGTCTCATCAGGGTTCTGTGGAGTCTAACCAGGCTGGTGAGACCCCACATAGCCCTGGGGAGACCCTACAGAGCCCTGCTTGGGCTCTCACCAGGGCTCTATAGGGTATCATCAAGGCTATGTATGGTCTCATCAGGGCTCTATGGGGTCTTACTAGGGCTGCGCAAGCCATGTCTCATCAATGCTGTGCGGGCTGGGACCAGGTCTCACCAGGGCTGTGCAGTCCACCTCTCACCAGGACTGTGCTGCCTCTGAAGTTAAATTCCGCCTTCCCAGCCAGGTTGAGATCCCCAAGCGGTCGATGGGAGGGGTGATGTCTCTCCTCATTGGCTGATGGGCGGAGCTCCAGAACGCAGTGTGAATGAACGGTGGAAACTGATGCGTTGTGATAATGTATTGCTTTATTGATAGACCTGGCCATTACTCCTGAACAGCTTGAGTTGCATAAAAACTGCCTATAAAAAGGGCTTATAAAAAAAAAAAAACATTTTGTCTGTACTTACTTTAAAGTAGATGTCATCCCTAACAGAATGACATCTAGTTTTCTAAAGCATTGCGTATCATAAACAATCACCTTTTTTTCACATAAAATACTTTTCCCCTTTTTTTCATCCTTTACCATATCCCAGTGTAGATGATCTTTTCTAGCCTCTTGCAGCCATTTGCAAAGACAGAGCATTGCCACCCTAAGTCTTCACGCATGGGGGGCTACTATGTGTGGCTGGAGATTCCTGCAACAAGAACCTGAAGAATTTTGCAAGTTGGGGACAGATGCTTGTCCCTGAACACAATCTGTCTGAGTCCAGGGACAAGCATTTATCATGAGCAGCAGGTAATCGTTCCATATACGGTTTTCATGGTCATTCACTTGAATGGGGGCAGTAGCCTCATCTGTATGGACCCACCTCTGATTCTTGCCATGAATCTGTAAGAATAATGGAGGGAGCGCCGTGACAGCTGCCTGGGTCAGAGCTGTGGGTGAGTATATCTTTGTTATTTTAGCACCTAGACATAAATGAGCACTTAACCCTTGCAGTGCAGGGGTAGCCCCACTGCAAGAGTTAATAAAAAATATTCCTGGAGTTCTTCTTTTGAATTTACATTGTTGTGTTAAAGCTTATAGGAGATTTCAGTGATTGGAGTAACATATACTTTAAAACAATGTCTGATTAAATAAAGACAAAAAGAAGAAAATGGCAAGTCTTATGACATATTTATTAGAATATCTCTAACAGAGTATAAAACTCAAAAGCATGTATCATTACACAAATGTGCCAGAAAAACATTTCAGAATAGTGCTCTTATTATTAGTTACAGAGTATCAAGAGATTTACAAAAACAAACTAATCTGTAACATATTCTATCTACCTTCATCAAGCAAACGTAATCCTCATACAAACACGTTCCAAAAATGACATTTTTTTGTACCAACATGTGGTAAAACATTAATAACTACCATTTTTCAATGAAAAACGAATAGACTGCATACTAAAAGTGAATGCATATTAACTGCATCATAAAATACTATGCTGTACACTTCCTGGCCTGCAGGAATATTTGCCAGGTTAATACAAAAAGTTGTAACTTTATATAGAGTCATTTACTTCATCATAAAAAAAATAACAGACACAAATCTATTTGAATATATAAACAATATTTACATAATAAAAATTCTAAAATTCCAAACAAATACAAGAACTTTCTTATATGAAATAGCAGCAATAAATGATCCACTGCAAGTAAAACAATGACTTCTCATTTCGGAGTTGTTACCTATTTTAGGGCAAACGTCAAAGTCCTTTTCTTATATGAAGGGTAAAGTGGTGGGAAAATGGATCATTAAAGGGAGTTGTGATTAAAGAATAACCAATTAAGATCCATCTGTTCATTTTGGAGTCAGTCAACTCTGACTGTTCCCATTGCTTCTGCCTGCCACTGTGTGGAAGTTGATGATGAAGACACATCACTCTAGTAGACAAGCCTCATGTACAATGAGGGGAGGAGATTGCTGGGGGGAACTTTATGGTAATAGCACATCTTCATCAAATTGGCTCCAGATGAACTGTAACTTTAACACACACATGGATCTCTTACCCTTTCCCCCATATAGAGCTAGAGCAACCTATAGAAAACCTATGCTGAAAAAAGTGCATAGGCTGTCATTGCCAAGTTCTCATTCAGAAGTTTTGGTTGTCTGACTGTCATCTAATTCATTTGCTTCAATTATTTAAGTCACTTACCCAGAGTAAGTGAGGATCTAGAGTTCTCACATCACTGGCTGCATTATTGTTAAAGGTCCGTAAAGTACTGAAGCCATTTTAATGTGTATGACAGCAAGACAATTTTGCATTTTCAGAGGTAGGTGAGCAATGGCAGCCTATACAGTTTATTTTTCTCAGCGTACATACAACACAATTAATGTTTTATTTAGTTGACTGGAGCTGAGGGCAAGTAAAGCCTATCTTAGGGCTTGCTCTATTTTTTCCGTTTGCAGCCGAACGTAACGCAGGCAAAGTTTTGCCACGTGTCCGATCGCACTGCGGGCGGGGAGGCAGTGCCATTGAATTCAATGCACCGCCACACCCCCTCCCGCCCCAGAACACAGGGGGAGAATCGCGGTGCGTTCCAGCAGCTACCGCTTTCGGTGTGAACAAGCCCTTAGGGTAAGGCCTATCTTTAGGGTAAGTAAAAACTATCTTCTATCTTATGTTGAGCTCAACATATTATTGTAGCGACCTTAATTTTCTCACTGGACCAACAACACTACACAAACCAATTTGGAATCTACAATACTTTTGTCTACAATCGCGCCATTAATGAATAACTATACTTTTGAGGAATAATGCACTATATGCTCCCCACCTCAGTCCTTCCCTTTGTGCTCGGCTATCTGCAATATGATATAATGGAGTGCCCATCGCCTTGTAGGACTTCATAGAGATGGGAAATCTTTTACAATCTCTGGTTGAGAGTGGCACATGTACATAAATAATGTCCCTCCCTAGTCTTTTACATAATTGTCCTTGTTCCTCTGCTGTACACCACACAGCTCCTGTTCCAGAAGTCTCCCAGCCGAGCTATGCTTCTTCCATGTACAAATCTTTATTGATTCCGATGGAAAGGTCATCCGTTGTTGGGACACCCAATAGACTCTCTACACTACTTAATGAAAATTCCTCCACGCATGCATTAAAGAAGAAGATCTAGGTTCGGAGACTTCATCAGCAGTGACTGTGTGGCTACTGGGGGTCTGTAAAGGTCAGTGGAGTAAGAATAGGTATGTATAAGAATTGGGGATTGCAATGGAAACTGGAACAACTGTGGGGGGACTTTATCAAAACTGGAGCAGAGAGAATCTGAAGCAGTTGCCCATAGTAACCAATCAGCTTCTCTGTTTAGTTTGTTCACTTAAGCTTTGAACCTGAAACAAAGAAGCTGATTGGTTGCCATGCACAATTGCTCCAGATTTTGTCTGCTCCAGTTTTGATAAATCCCCGTTTGTATCTTTTGTTCCAGCCTATCCTGTCAATCCTCATGATAAAGTGAGGTAAGCATAGACAGAAATCTCTGACAGGGTGTCAGATAAAGAAAATGACCATTATTTTTAAAGTACTCCAATTCAGCTGGGACATGCAATGTTTTTCAACTTGCTAACTAAAACTTATGATAACACGATTCTCTTATGATTAAGATATTAAAACAACTTTTGCATATCACTATGTTTTTAGTATAGGGGAATGTGCTAACATTTATATCAGTGGAAGGGCATTGGCTGCCAATCATTTCAAGGGAAGGCAATATCAAAGCCATCTTTTGAATGTAGCCATTGTGTGTAAACCATTTTAGTATTACAGAATGGCAAATGCAAAGTTACAGGACTGTTCCCTTATAAATTTAAGGCAAACATGTAACAACTTGATATTTCAGGCCTAACCCAAAAAAGGTAAATAACTTTCTGTATTGATTAATTGAAGCAGAAATACTAAGATGAGATGTACTGACTGCATGCATAATTGCCACAGCTAATTTGGGTGTCCCTTAGCCAGTAGTAACTGCCAAGCAATTATCTGTTAATTTCACATTTGTATTTCGTCAGCAACAGCAGCAGAGGTGCCGCTCATTATTAAGATATAAAAATGTATCTATGCCTGAAAGGTAACCCAAATAATATTTAGTACTATTGCATCATCAGCTGAAGTTATTCTTTACCAACTGTTGCTTTAAATGTATGTTATGTAACGATATAATTTTTACCACACAAGTGGAACCATATAGCTTGAATGCTGAAAAGGGAAACTGTACAGCAGGAATAAAATACATTAGTTTTCTTTTTAAAATGATCTGTATTCCATACCGCCAACATTTTCTAGGATCCACATACATATTGTATTATATTAAAATGGGTACTATATACTGTACAACAACAATACATCTTTATACAAACTTTGAAACAGTTACTCCTTGATTGCTGAGCTTCCCAAGTGCTTTTCTTCAAAAGTTTCAGATGACTGCAAATATTCTGAAAGCCTTGCTGCCCAGTGGGTTATGTAAACTGCAGAAACAAAAAAGAAGACGCCCTAAGTAAAGGAATTCATATCTACTAGGATACGCAAAGTTGCAGATTTTACAAAGCATGGGTGATGATTAGGATGTTCATGGACAAATTCAGATATCAGCAGACACCTCCAACCAGAGTAAATAACATGGTTGTTTATATGATGAAATGAAAAGGGTAGAAACATAAGCCCATCTAAATTTACAGTTGCATGTGACAACTGTGTATTAGGTTTTTATACTCCTGTCTGACTCTGTACGCATAGTTTTGCTAGTGGGATACACACATACTTACATACCTGGAAATGGCAGCTGGGAAGCCCTGTGGTCACTGTTAGAGCCATCTAAGGGCCAGCATACGTCACCTTTATAAAGATATATTTGTCATCTGACATTGCAGGAACAGTTGCTGGGCTTTCAGCTACAGGGGGTTGGTAAAGCCCAGCAAGAAGCTTAAAGTGACACTAAACTCAAGAGCTAAATCTTAAGATTGCATTCAAGTACCCTAACTTTTAACGTAAATGTATCTTATTTGTGCATCAATCAGCTGTAGATCCTCAAATCATCTCTGAATTTGTGCTGACACTGTCCATCCTTCTGGAGGGTGGCTACTTTTCTTCCCCATGGTCCCTGTGTGTGTTGTAAAGTAACCACCGCTCTAAGCTAACATGATTTTGATACCTTTTTTCTTTCAAACCGGTTTCAAAAGGGTTTAAAAAAAAAAGTGTTTGCATATATCTACTGCTTGGTAGCCGTACATATATGCAACAACACCTGACGGTTTAATAACAATTTAAAGTAGCTCCCAGCAGGCAGACACGCAACACTCTTTCCCATAGTGGTTAATATGCGGGTGTGAGTGGTCTCACCAGGGATACAGACGATATCACCAGGGCTGCGGGCGGTCTCACCAGGGCTGCGGGAGGTCTCAGCAGGGATGCGGGAGGTCTCAGCAGGGCTGCGTGAGGTCTCAGCAGGGCTGCGTGAGGTCTCAGCAGGGCTGCGGGAGGTCTCAGCAAGTGCTGCGGGCGGTCTCACCAGGGCTACGGGCGGTCTCACTAGGGCTGCGGGCAGTCTCACTAGGGCTGCGGCACTCTCACCAGGCATACAGGCGGTCCCACCAGGGATACCGGTACTCTCACCAGGGCTCTGCAGGGTCTCAGGTGACAGATTGCAGGGTTAGGGCTGCTGACAGCTCACCCACCCTCTGTGTCCAGGTCGGTCCTTTCTCTCCCCCTCTGCCTGACACCGCTCCTAGACTCCTCCCCCTCATTCCCGGGGCCCTCAGGTGCAAAGCTGGCCCTGGCAGTAATCGGGCATTGCATAGCAGGCCAGGCCGTACACAATCAGGATGATTGTGTTCGGGCCCGCTCCTTCCTCTCTGGGCCCCCCTCCCCAACAGGCAGAATGCCAGGGCCCGGTCGCGACCATTGCGACCCTGGTCGTTCCGCCAGTGGGTGCAGAGAGTCACAGGAAGGGCGCAGAGGGTCTCAGGAGGGGTGCAGGCAGGGGCGGATTCCCCACAAGTCCTCCGAGGCCTGGCCTCAGGGCGGCAGGGAGCAGAGGGGCGGCAGCGGTTTGAAGTCTCCCAACACCCAGAACATGGAGTTCCGGGCGCCGGGCGGTAATTTGTCTTCTACATTTAGTCCTGCTTTACACAAAATAAATAGTAAAAAAAATATAAAAAAATAAGAAAATAATCATAAATAAAAAATAAGATACAAAAATTATAAAAAATTAAAAAGTAAAAGATGATAAAGTAAATAAAAATTTAAAAAGTAAATAAATACATAAAAAGGGATTAAAAAAAGTAAAAAAATAAACAAAACAAATTCAAACTAACCCTGCCGCCCCCGCTATCCAGTTGGCATTCTCCATGGGGGGCTGGTTGGAGGGGAGTGGGGCGCTTTGAAGAATCTGGCCTTGAGGGGAGCACGGAGAACAAATCCGGTCCTGGGTGCAGAGGGTTTCAGGAGGGGTGCGAATGTCCCAGCAGGGGTGCGGAAGGTCTCAGGAAGGGTGCGGAGGGTCTCAGGAGGGGTGCGGAATGTCCCAGAAGAGGTGTGGAATCTCCCGGAAGGGGTGCAGAATGCCTCGGGAGGGGTGCGGAATGCCTCAGGAGGGGTGCGGAATGCCTCGGGAGGGGTGCGGAGGGTGTCATGAGGGATGCGGAATGTCCCAGGACGGGTGCGGAGAGTCTCAGGAGGGGCGCAAAGGGTGTCAGGAGGGGCGCAGAGGGTGTCAGGAGGGGTGCAGAGGAGGGGGAGAACGAACACAACACTAGACCATCTTACCTCCACAAACAGCGCTGCAGCCTGCTCAGCCCGGCCGGGACTCCAACACGCGGTACGCCCCGCCTCCCAACGACAGGACGCTGCAGATGACTCATCGCTCCGAAGTCTCAGAGAGATCACTCTCTGCGACCCTGGTAGTTCCGCCAGTGACTTTAATACAAATTAGTGAACTAACCGCAAGATTGCAGTCCATCACTGGAGAGAGCTTGAAGTGGTTGTTACTGTACAACACACACAGAAACCATGGGAACAAAAGTAGCCACCCTCCAGAAGGAAGGACAGTGTCAGCACCAATTCAGAGATGATTTGAGGATCTACAGCTGAGTGATACACAAATAATATACATTTCTGTTAATAGTTAGGGTACTTGAATGCATTTTTAAGATTTAACTCCTGAGTTTAGTGTCACTTTAAGGTTGAAGGCCAACTGTCTGTGGTACATGCCTAGCAGAAGGACAGAAAAAGCACAGTGCACCAGGTGTTGGAAAGGCAAATAATGCATGAGTGAGCTGCACTGCCTTCAACCTGTGACCTTATAAAAATGGTGAGTGCTAGAAATGACACAATGGAATGTGGCTCTGAAGAATCCAAAAACTTCTAGAAAGTCACCAGCACTCCAAATAGTTTTTTCACCATTTAACTGTAACTGCTACCGTGCCTGGAGAAAGCTGGTGATGCCGCTAAACTTTTGATCTTATATTATGATGCTTTCACAATAAAGCAGTGAAGCATATTATTTGAAGTGCGGGTGGCTTTCTACACTTAGTTGTTGGAAGGTAATCACCACAGGGAAATGTGTATGTAAGTGCATACTACTCCGAGCAGTTTGTTGAACCTCTTGAAAAACTAAGTTCTGCACCTGCTTTCGTATATGTGCTATAATTTTCTACAAACCGACATCACTTTAAGATACCCCCCTCCCTTCCAATGTTACGTCCCCTACTGATATTCTGCATTTGGAATCTTTAGAACAGGGAAAGAGATTGCCAGCCAGGTCACTTGTCTCCTGTACATACCGTACTTGCCTTAGAATGGCATTAACGCTTAAAGAGGAACTTTCCCCATATCTTCCAAATAGCAATAAAGGCACCTTTAGAAATGTTTAGTAATGACAACCTACAAACAGATACTTATAGATAATTGCAGACTTTTTCTTTTTCTTTTCTTCCCCAGTCTGCTGACAGTGGCTATTTTAACTAAGGGTAGGTTACTAGATCTCCTTTTACTTCCTGGCACATGTAACTAGGACATGAGGCCATGCACATGGGGTTTCATATGAGGTATCAAAACTACTTCATATATATTTTTTTGTTTAAAACATGATTTTTCCAATAGAAAAAGATTTAATATACACATACCGTATTTGCCGGCGTATAAGACGGCTGGGCGTATAAGACGACCCCCCACTTTTTGTGTAAAAATATAGGTTTTGGGCTTTACTCGTATAAGACGAGTATAGCCCAAAACTATGTTTAAATGCACTTACTAACCTCCTTGGCGGTATTCCCGAGTGTGGCTCGGGGTTAATTTTCAGTACCATAAGTGTTAACCCCGAGCCACAAGTATATTAGTGCAATTGTCACGCACAAATATACATACAGTCATTACATTAAATTCCTTCTGCCTATTAACAGCCTACAGCCCTTGGTAGTTAATATATATACATAAACCTAGTCAGTATATACATGGGTTCCAATCACATATATGTGCTGTATCTTCATAGGGGGAAGAGGCACTATTTAGAGCAAGTGCTTTTGTGCCTCTATTTGGGAGAGTGATCAATTGTGGATATTTTTAGTATATCATAATGCTTCTACATTTGCATAACGGGCAAAAACCATCACTGCAAAAAAACAATATGGCTTCTCCCAGCCCTGCCTTGAGTTCGGCCTTCTTCTCTGCATTCAGCATCCACCCATCCACAATTGCCAGTGGGGCCAGATCACATTGGTCGCACATATTGCACTATGAGACTCATGCAATCCACTGTGGGTAGGAAGTGCTATACAATACACTGATAACTGCCACCACCCACAGCCAGTCTCAGACTGTTCACATGAAATCGTATGTGAACAATTGCCCCTGCGCAGTCTGCGTCCAGCTGTGGTTGCATGCAAGTAACTATAGCATGTATGATTACATGTATGTGAAGGGTGCCAGTGGTCATTGTATTGTACAGCACCTCCCGCCCACAGCTGATCACATGAGTCTCGAGGAGAAATGTGTGTTCACAAGTGTGAATGGAGCCTATAAAGTGTCTGCAGGAGAGAGGGGGGATTAGGGTGCGGAGAGAACCATCCTATTACCTGCCTGCTCTTGGCAAACAATGAAAGTATCTCCTATGTCCTGTGGGAATGATGACATCAATTTTAACAATTTCAAAGTATTTCCATTACAAAAAAATAACCTTAACTCTGCAAAGTGAGTGTGTAATTAGATGCAATTTAATAAGATATAAAAAACAGTGGGGTCTATTCACGAAGCTGCCAAAAGGATCTGGCCGTAGCTTCGGCCGATCCTTCGGCTAGCTTCGGCTCCAGGACCCCCGGTGCTGCAAGGGCTATTCACAATAGCCCGTACAGCTCCCAATCATGGCCGAATCAGCCGATCCAGATGTTAGATCGGCTGAGTCGAACTCCTTCTGCCCTTCGGGTCGGCCAAACATGCTGAGCATGTTCGGCCGACCCGAAGCCACACGAAGCAAGCCGATGTACGGCTGATTTCAGCCGATGTACGGCTGAAATTAGCCGTACCAGCCTGAAGTGAATAGCCGAACAGTGTTCGGCTCACTTCACTTCAGATCGGTCATTCACTCGGCTGCCCTCGGCAGCTTCGTGAATAGACCCCAGTATGTTTCTTATATAAACCTGCTACATAAATTGTGTATATATTCTTACAGAATGTTATTTGCACCTAGTATTATGGCTTAACTGATCGGCTTAGAATACTTATAGGATGCAAAGTCTAGATGGAGACTGAACTACAGTGAATGACTGGATTTCTTCACTCATTGCATGCCTATGGCAAAATAGTCTACAGATGCTTAGAGGAAAGTATCGTATCAAATATTACATTAGACACAGAGGGAGAAGTGATCCGTAGAGCTGCCTTGCCCTGTAAGCAGCTTGTTAGGCTGTGATTTATGGGATTACAGGAGACAAGCATTTATGGTACCACAGCTTCTCCTGAATTCACTTAATACCATCAGTTACACAATTTAAAAAGTAACAATGGTGGGACTATTCACCTCCCCTGCACACAAACATGCATTTGTGTGAATTGCTGTCTTTCATTGGTAATGATTAGGAACAAATAAACTACATTTTAATTTTACTCCTTTAAAATCATTACAGTTGTTGGCACTTGCAAAGGTCCTAATTTAACAATTAGCAGTACACTACACATAGCTGTTTTGAGGAAAAATGGTGCATTCTGACCTTTCTGTAATGTATTTATATTATATAAAATAGAGAACATTTAAATGATAACTTTACCAGGAGAATAATGTGTTATTGCATTGTTAAAGAGCCAGTCAGACAATGTGATGACACATTGGAGGTGACAGGTTCTCTTTAAGGTGACATTAGGGGTCTTTTAGACCCCTAGTGTCACCTTTCCACTTCACTGGATTCAGCTGCTGAGGCAGCTGAATGTAAATACAGCAGGCAGTGAGCGGGTGCAATAGCCAACCTGCTATTGGCTATTGCAATTTAAAATATCCAATAGCAGGCTGGCTATTGTTACAAGTGTCCGCTCCTTTTCCACTTGATTAAACTGTTTCCTTTCGGTTATATATCTCAGTGTCCCTGCTCCTTATTTGTTTAAGAATGCATTCACCAGACGTACCCAGAAGTTTTTGCTCTTAATCAAAGCAGGGAAGGTCCGTTCTGTGTGTTCACAGGGGAGGAGAGGAGAGAAGCCGTAAATCTTGACTAAACCCAGAACGGACCTTCCCTTCTTTGATTAAGAGCAAAAACTTCTGGGTACATTTGCTGAGTGCATTATTAAACAAATAAGGAGCACGGACAGCTGACACTTTAAGATATATAACCTGCTCTTGAACATTTAACAAATTCTGCTGTTTTGCTGATGCTCGCTCCATGGCCCCGAGCGCCAACAATCATCCCACGTTCAAAGGCTGTTAAATTGCGTAAAAGTGAAAATTCTATGATATGTGTGTGTAATCATTCCCTTAGACTTCCCCCATGACCTTGGGCTTTTTATTGAGAGGTCACGCGCCATTGTAGCAGGGAACAACCCATCCTGGATCCCACCTGCTACACAGACTCATTAAATACTTGTGATCTGCGTGTGCATCTTTTCACAAGCAGGTCACAGATAGAGCTTTCAGCACAGGTTTTATAATCTGTCACCATAAAGTGAGATTTTAAATACAAAGTCATATCATTCTTTTAAATGTCTGCACAGCTATATTATTTAACCAACTTTGAATGGAAGTCACCTCTATAGTGGTTTTAACTTCAAACTAAAAGTGGACCCCTTCGTTTTAATGGACATTCATTTGAGGGAAAGAAAGCAGTCATTACTTGTAACAACATTTTCAATGTAGACAGGATGAAATACCAGATGATAGTAAAAACTGACTGTACAACCTGTTTTAGAACTACCAATGTCTGGATACTTTCCTAAATTGCATGCTTTCCTGGTCAGTGGCACAGACAGTACTGAAGCCAGACACAGCCAAGCAGCTAACATTTTTTTAAGAGTTGGTTCAGCATACACATTTTCTTTGATAAAAAACACAAAGGCACAACCTCTTTTGCAGATTATGAAATAAATGACTTTTTATCAAATGAGAAAGCATAACCAGATATGTTATAGCTAGGTGGGCTAACAGTAACCAAACCCCCTCCACTGAACCAGCGTGAAGCACAGTTGAGCTTTCTTAATGTATCTGCATGTCTTACTTCCATCAATAAATCCCAAAACTAAGGGAATTATTCCTCACTTTAGGACAGTGGTGGAGTCATGCAAATTATTCCATTATACCCCTAGGCCAACTGTGCATCCAGATCTTTCTCCCTGATTCATAAATGCATTGATAGTGCATTGTTTCCATGCACTGCAATGGTGATGGACATCAAACTGAAGTTTGAAATTAAATGTTCTATAATATTAGGCTGTATCTATGCTGCAAACCAGTGGCTCACCAGTGGATGCACATTTGACCCAGCAGCATAAAAGAAAAATCTGCATGACTGCACCCAGTATTCTGAAGTGAGGAATAAACCCCTTATCTGTAGAATTTAGAGGAGAACTATGAGGTGAGTGAATTACACTCATCCCATAGTTAGAGCCGAAGTCTGACATTGAAACTGTCACATGTCACCTCTATTGCTCAGGAAGTGAGCGAAAACATACCGTCACTCACTCACTTCCAAATTATCTTCCTGCAGAGAGTGGTGACTGTCAGTCACCGCTCCTTCCCCCTTTCTCCTCTCTGAACCTTCAGCGCTGACTGGAGGAATGGACTGGGGAGGGGGCTGGCATAGCTGGCTCTGCCTATAAATAGGCAGAGCACGCTGTCAATCAGCCAGCGGGATGGATCTCGATAGTAGTCTTGATCCGTCCTGGCTGTTGCACTTTCAGCATATAGCGGGCAATAGCCCACTAAAAACTACGTTTTGGGTCACGGGAGATCCTCCCATGACCATAAAAAGAACTATGGGAAGAAAGGTTACCCCATAGTTCTCTTATTATTATACAGGATTTATATAGTGCCAATAGTTTGCACAGCGCTTTACAATATAAGGAAGACATTACAGTCACAATACAATTCAAGACAAGATGGTAAGGAGGGCCCTGCCACTGAGGGCTTACAATCTAAAAGGAAGGGGCAAGTGATACATGAGGAGGTAGCTGTGCGGGGATGATTGTTTGAGAAAGGGATTGTTCAGTGGTAAGATTGAGGTGGGATAGGCTTCCCTGAAGAGATGAGTCATAAGGGATCGCCTAAAGGCAGTCAGTTTGGGAGATAGACGGACAGGTTGGGGTAGAGAGTTTTCTCTTAAAATGAAATTAAACAGGAAGATACATCGGGGTGGAATTTATCAAAACTGGAGCAGACAAAATCTGGATCATTTGTCCATGTCAACCAATCAGCATCTCTCTTCAGTTTGCTCAGTTAAGATTTGAAAACGAGACAGAGAAGCTGATTGGTTGCAGTGAAAATCTGCTCCAGTTTTGACAAATCCCCCCCATTCTATTTTAAGAAGGCTCTACTTGATCACATAAACTCACCTTTCTGAAGTAATACCATTCTGGATTGATCCAAAGTAGTGTCTCTTCTTATCGATCGGCATAACATCCACGTAGCCTCCTTGATGATTACGAACCACACCAGCATGTAGAGCTGCTTTGCAGATGCTTGATATCTATGGTAGAAAGAAGCAAGATTTTGATTATTAATAGTATACAGAATTTATAGAGCACCAACAGTTCTCACATCACTTTACAAAATATGGGGAGACAGTACAGTTCCATACTAGAGGACTAGAGAGCTTACAGTCTACTAGGAGGGGATTAACTGGACATGTGTTTTGTCCTGAGTTAATACAAGGTTAAAGTACAAAAAAATAAAGAAGAAACAGAGCCAGATGAATTGTCCTAAGTGCAGGAGTCTGCAAGTAGGAAAACACATTAATTAACAGCTATGATTCATGGTATGCTTGTAAAGGTGGCAATACACTGTACAACCATCGCAAGACCTTAGTCTTGCGATGGTTGTAAAGTGATTAAAAAAACGTACGATCTGCCCATCTTGGACAGGCACCCGAGCACCGTTCAAACCAGCCGAAAATCGTATGATTTTCGGCTGGTTTTCTAGCGTGCTCCTTAGACAAAAGACATGCAACCGTACAGTAGAAACGGTCGCACGTCTTCGTTCACACTGCTCGATTCTCGTACGATCGCGGGAAGACTGAAGCTGTTTTGGTCATGAAGTCAACTTGTCATTTATGTTTTTTATATTGTTAATGCATCTCATTCTGTTTTTTGTAGATCCAAAACAAACTCTCACCCTGTGCTGAGTTGACTTTAGCTGTCTTCTGAATTACCTAACTAAAATGTTAGTCTGTTCAGTCACTTCAAGATGAACTATAGGGTGACAGGTCCAAATGTAGCAGTTTTCTTTTTCTGTGACAGAGATGTATTCTACTCACTGCCTGAACCTTTAACACATATTACTGGTATGACTGAACTATAATGCTTCTAGAGATATTTTACTTTTGCTTGGTTGTCATCTGTTGATTTTTTTACTACAGACAGACAAGAAAGTGTATATTTTTTGAGCTTTCCTGAATGCTCTGATAACATAGAAGAAACATGGGCCCCTTTCTAAAGGGAAGGATTCGAAATGCTCATATCCCTGTCTTTCACAGGATCAAGATCTTTAATCATGCACTTTTTAAGACAATCCTCCTGCCAGGTCACACATTACACACAGCTCTCCAAAAGTTTTCAAAGACACTTTAATTAACAGCTCTGGTATGTGTTGTATGGGGTAGGGTAGAGCTCACCTCTCTCTGGTCCACTAACTAACCCAAGGATTTTTTCCTGGAAAGTCCCACCCAGTGCAGGCATAAACTATCAAGTCCAGGTGCTTGACCACAATTAATTTAAACCCAGTGCGGCATTCATTTAGAAAAGCACAATAAACATAGAACAAAATATAATGCAACAAACAAAATAACACGTTTTATTACATTAATTAAACCCTTTACATTAAGATGTAAAATGTGTGAACGGGCCCATATGTGTGAAAGCAGCCAATAACCAAGTGCCAAGACTGTCCTTCCTTCTGGAGGGTGGCTACTTTAGTTCTCCATGGTCCCTGTGTGTGTTGTAAAGTAGCCACCACTACAAGCTCACTCCTGGGATGGACTATAACTTAAATACAAATTAGTTAACTAAATGTGAGATTGTAGTCCATCACGGGAGCGAGCTTAAAGTGGTGCCTACTTTTTAACACACACAGGGACCATGGGGAACAAAAGTAGCCACCCTCCAGAAGGAAGGACAGTGTCACCACCAATTCAGAGATGATTTGAGGATTTATAGCCGAGTGATACACAAATAAGCTACATTTCCGTTAATAAATAAGGTTCTTGAATGCATTTTTAAGATTTAACTTCTGAGTTTTGTGTCACTCTAAAATTTCCTATTCTTTTTGTAGGAATGTTTAATAGTGGGAATCATATATGAAATATCAGAAATATATCTTTGAAAATCATAGCAGTTACTCAGCTTAGATAATGAAAATAAAGGACCTTGCAAAGAGCAGTTCTTATTTCATGCACTTTAATAGACCAGTCTCAATAGAATGTAATACATTCCCTTACCTTTTAGAAGGAATTAGAACAATATAACAACATTACTGTTAAAGTACACATATCACACAACATAAAAATGAACACACTTATTTAATAAATCAACTAAAAAAAAAATTAACCAAGTTTAACCAAAAACTTAACCCCTTCACGACCTATGACGGGATAATCCCGTCATGAAGTCTGAAGGGGTTACACAGTCTGTTTTGTTTTGTGGACCGGCTTTACAGTAGAAGCAATTCTGGCACCTCGGGCGCCGCCAGATCGCTTCTACGATCCGGTAACATCTGGTAGCATCCGTTCGCCGATCCCCTCCCTGTACTATGAGACCGTGAGCGATGTGTTTTGCATCACTTCCGGTCCCATAGCTGTCATTGCCGGGCTCCTGAAGCCCAGCTATAAGCTATTGAAGTGCAATCTGCACTTTAATTGCTTATTTAGAGTGTAAAGGTGACACCCCCAGCATCATCTTAAATAGTACCTGTCACAACCAATCTGCTATCACATGGGGGGCATATAAGCCCCCCTATGTGATAGCAATTAAAGTAAAGTAAAAAAAAAGTTTTAAAAATAAGAATAAATAATTAAAAAGGAAAAATTAAAATATTTTGTTTTAAGTTCACCGCCCCTGCGAGCATGCACGTCATCATGTAAACATGTGTCGAGTGCGTCTACGTACGAAAACGACGATTGCGCTACACATGTTGGATATCGCTGTGCATGCTGTAGTGAGAACAATAATTCTAGGGCCAATATTTACGCTTATCTCTAAACTGATGACCTGTAGGGGCTTTTAAAGCGTCATGTATGGACTTTTTGGGGTACTGAATTCTGTCGCAGTTTCATGGACGCACACAATTTTAAACCTGTGCATGTTGGGTATCTATTTACTCGTTGTAACCTCATCTTTTATTTAAAAAAATGGTTTTAAATTGTGTTTTGGGGCACTAAATTTAACTTAAGTGCATTTTTCACTACATTTGTGGGTTGGATAATACGTTGCGCTAACCTCCTGCAACATACACATTTGAAACTGCCACCATTTTATTATATAGGGTATTGGCTTTCAGAAAATATATAATGTTTGAGGGTTTTAAGTAATTTCAGGCCTAAAATGTGGATTATAATGTGGGTGCAAAAAAATAAAAAAGGCATTGGTCCTTAAGGGGTTAACCAAAGTTAAAATGAGTGTAAACGCTAAAAATGAACTTTTCTTATTTGTTCTTTGCACGCACTGAGATTGATTTACTAAAGGCAAAAAGGCTGAACACTTTGCAAGGAAATTTTCCCTTAGCTTCGTGAATAAGGGGAAGCTTTGCTGACTTCCATCATCCAATCATGTGCAAGCCAAAATACTGTTTACACTTGTCCTGACATACTTTATTGTGTACATTCTAAAAGTGATCCAGGATATGTTATCTAACAAAAGTTTTACAGGTCTAGACTCATGTCTAAGCTCACATGTCAGTGAGGTCAGAAGTCACCAACTCTAGGTCAAGAAGGTTTAATTTTCTGCCGTCTTCTCATACACTTGCTGGGATGGCTCTGGCGAACCACCAGTTTCAGACCAGTGTTGGTATCAAATAGCCTAAGCGAGCTCTTTTATTAGGACAGTTTGTTATTACAACACAACAGGTGTCTTGGACAGTAATCTCTTATAAGGCTGTCAAAGATATTCTAAGACCACTGTACTTAAGTGTGAAAACAGCACTGTACACATTATTCAAGGAAGATATTCAGTGACTAAATCAAGCTGCAGAATAAAATCAACTTAAAGTAGACCTTAACTGGATGACAGTTTTCTAAAGTACTGTAATCATAAAGCAATACCATTCTTTTTGTTTTAGAAAATACTGTTTTCACCTTATTTCCATCCTTGTGTTTTTGCTGCATCTCACTGCATAACTCCTGCAGTCTCTCTCAGCAAGTGCCTGACCAAGACCTTCATAGCAAGAGTACCAGATATTTTAATGAAAACTGTAGACTACAGAGATTTAGAATTACTTTTGGAAATAAATGACCATGTTAAAGTTTATATGAGATTTCTGTGATTGGGTTTACATTTACTTTAAACTTTTAATTAATTGTTTTATTTTTTCTTACTGCAAAAGTGTCCTGGATGCTTCACCACACTCACATCCAAACCAAATCCTTTGTGCTAAGCATTATGATGTTACATATAATGTTGATACAAGCAGGCTATAGTTGGTACTGTATGACAGGCATTAGGTTGCCCTACCAGAAGGTAGGCAAATCCTGTGTAGGCAAACTCAACCCCCCAACTGCTTTTTCTGTGTTGCATGCCTGTTGGGCTCATTGTACCTTTCCTAGTTTAGCACTGATGTTACATGTTGTTAGAAGGAGCGTTAGGTGCTGGCAGCATTTGAACTGTATCTCCCACCCTAGAATTATCCTGCTTTAAAAAACACTCCACATCTTATCTAAAGGTGGGCAAAAGTAAGGAGAAGTAAGTGATTGGCAAGTCTGGTGCTCTGCTGCCTGGCTCTAAGCTGTCAGGGGTCCTTTGCCTGGCAGTAGTACAATTTTATTGTTGCTGGCCAATCCCCTCTCTGACCTTCAGCCCGCTAAGCCTGTAAAGTTGAAAGCAGTGTTATGCCTTCATGATTACCCCCACAATGTGCCTGTCATAAAGGGGAGGAAGGAAAAGGTGATCAGAAAGTGTCAGCATTGCTGTTCTGCCGCCTTGCTCAGTCCTGCTAGAATCATGTATTTTTCTGTATCCTGCCAGTGCTGAACAAGGCAGCGGGACAGCTATGTACCTGGCACCTCTCCCTTCTTTCAGTTTGCTGTGGCAGTCATGCTGACAGTCCTGTGCCCTTCTGCTCATCCTCACAATGTACCTGCCATACTGGCGAGGTAAGGTGAGCAAGGAGCAGCAACACTACTTTTCTGCTGCTTTGTTCAGTGCTGCAAGGATCATGTAGTTGCCTGTATCCTGACAGCACTGCAGGGAGACAGCATAGTGGTATTTGCCTAGCTTATTATTTCTACACCGTGCCTGCCATAGAGGGGCAAGAAGCTGGAATTTTACTGGTTTCACAAAACATTTTATTGAGAACATTCAAAGAATTAAAACAATTTCAACATAGCTGGCAGCACTGCTGTTCTGCTGTCTTGGTCCGCAGTATCAGGGTGTAAGGCTTACAAAAAAGTACACTGTTATAAATATGACATATGAGAGGGGAGCTCTCTACTTCCCTGTCACTGCCCGCACTAACTCAAACAGGGCACCCAAGGTGTACAGCAGGTGTACAGTAAGCCACATAAGGGACAATCCCAGCTCCTTCCACTGACTCTATCTAGTGATAATTCTTTCAGAGATCCTGTGATGAGGCCACAGTGAATAGAACTTCAAATATCTATGCAGGAGCATGGCAAAGAGAAAATGATTTAGCTTTCTTTAATGGTATCAGAAATGGAGTGTTAAATATGCTATTTTTGTCACTCAGAGGTCACATTAAAAGCTGAACTCCTCCATTCCAATCTTTTTTTTTTGTTTTAGATTGGAAAGGGTTAGAACCTCAGATGGTTCCTTATCACATTCAATGTAAGGAACATTTTGATAACTTATATAAAAAAACACTATATTACCAAAAGTATTGAGACTCCTGCCATTACATGCACATGAACTTTAATGGCATGCCAGTCTTAGTCAGTAGGGTTCAATATTGAGTTGGCCCACCCTTTGCAGCTATAACAGCCTCAACTCTTCTGGGAAGGCATCCACAAGGTTTAGGAGTGTGTCTATGGGAATGTTTGACCATTCTTCCAGAAGCACATTTGTGAGGTCAGGTAATGATGTTGGACCAGAAGGACGGGCTCGCAGCCTAATCTCTAATTCATCCCAAAGGTTTTCTATCGGGTTGAGGTCAGGACTCTGTGCAGGCCAGTCAAGTTCCTCCACCCCAAACTCACTCATCCATGTCTCTATGGACCTTGCTTTGGCACTGGTGTGCAGTCATGTTGGAACAGAAATGGGCCACCCCCAAACTGTTCTCACAAAGGTGGGAGCATGAAATTGTCCAAAATGTCTTGGTATGCTGATGCCTTAAGAGTTCCCTTCACTGGAACTAAGGGGCCGAGCCCAACCCCTGAAAAACAACCCCACATTATAATCCCCCCTCCACCAAAAATGTTACGCTTGGCATAATGCAGGCAGTACCGTTCTCCTGGCAACCACCAAACCCTGACACGTCCATCGGATTGCCAGACAGAGAAGCGTGATTCGTCACTCCAGAGAACACGGCTCCACTTCTCTATAGTCCAGTGGTGCCGTGCTTTATACAACTGCATCCGACGCTTTGCATTGCACTTAGTGATGTAAGGCTTGGATGCATCTGCTCGGCCATGGAAACCCATTCCATGAAGCTCTCTACACACTGTTTTTGTGCCAATCTGACGGCCACACGGAGTTTGGAGGTCTGTAACTATTGACTCTGCAGGCAGTTGACGACATCTGCGCACTGTGCACTTCAGCATGTGCTGACCCTGCTCTGTCATTTTACATTGGCCTACCACTTCGTGGCTGAGTTGCTGTTGTTCCCAGTTGCTTCCACTTTGTTATAATACCACTAACAGTTGACCGTGGAATACTTAGTAGCAAGGAAATTTCACGGAACACCTGAATCCAATGATTTGGAAGGGTGTCCCAATACTTTTGACAATATAGTGTATATTAAAGCTTTAAAAGAAAGTGGATCTTTCCTCAGACCCCATACCACCCCCTCCCCACAAGTCAATGTTGGATATACTTTATATAAATCAACTTGATTACAATTAGCAGGGATAAACAGTGTACATGTACATTTTTTGAATACTTGTTTTCCTTTTTTTCATCCTTAGTGCATTTTATCTTTTGATCGTTTGCTGTTTCTTTGCAACTATTTCCACATGCATGGACTCCAGTGATGGCTGCATGACATTTCTCAGAGCAGGTTTCCAGATGGTGACAACAATGGATCATGCCTGTCTAATGTGTGTTGAAATGGCCACCTGTAGTGTCAATTGGAAGCCTGTGTCCAGTGGAGGAATACAGTTGGGAGAGAGTGACAGAGAATTGTCACCCTATTAAAAGTCCCTGAACAAGGATATATTCAGAACAGGATTACTAACTGTTATTTTAGTGAAAGCTGCCAATTTAACATCATAAAAAATGACTTTTGAAACTACAGGAACATGTTAAAGCATACATGAAATTGTAGTGGTTGGGTTTACATATACTTTAAATGTTCTATAATATTTATATGCCCATACTTATTTTATAAAAAGCATATACTAAAAAAAGTACTTACATCAGAATAAATCCGGGTTCCAAACACTCGAGCATAGTGCGGACTTGCTTGAGCACAATTACGTGGACAGTACACTCTAGGACAATAACAAGATGTAGAATGGAAAGTCATTAAATGAACAGACATATCTAACTTTATCTTATGCAACCAGTATTATCATTGTAGATACAATCACGTGTCATTAACCTATAAACCGAGTGCTGCATAACCTCGAACTATAAAATTAGGGAGCTATTATAACTATACACAATGCTGCACTTTTTTTCCTCACCCCTGGTAACAGTACACAGAATAAGAGCTAATACATGAGGCTACACTTGTCAGTCAGTGACATGGACATGTCTGTGTAACTATTTATATTGGTCAATAACCTTTCAAGGGTCTCATAATTACTGCTGGAATGTTCATCATATTAAATTACCTACTGCATTGCAAAACACGAAAAAGGACAGATACTGTAAAGTCGTTGGTTTTCCAATAGTAATGGGAAACAGAAGCCAAAATCAAAATATGTCATATTCAGCAATGATTTCTGTATGTAAACAAATTATCTCTTAGTTTTAAGATGTGAACATTAAAGCCCAACTCCAGCCAAAACCTTTTCTAGTGACAGTAGAAGTGGCTCAAGCAGTACTCTTATTTTTCAAAGTTTGAAAAGGAAATCTAAGTCCAGCACTAGCTTTGCACTTGACCGATTCTACAGGCTGAGTTAGCATAGCATAGTGGCTTGTTTTGCAGCTCATCTGCTAGAACCCTGATGATTCATTCCACTTCAGTAAACAAATGATTCTTTTAGTACAGAGGAAAAGTAACCGTGCTAATAATGTAACAAAGAGACTAGAGCTCTACCTGCTGGCTGGATAGAAGATAGCATTACATTCATCATGTGTTTTACATGCATGTTCTATGTGATTTTTTATCCTAACCACAAACTACAAAGAATGTATACAATATACAAAATCAGTATAGATTCAATTTAGGAAAAGTGGTAGATTTAGGGGCAGTAAGAGCAGCGTTAGGTCACCAAAATTACATGGAACAGGATATATTTTTTATTTAAACTATGTGAAAGTAGAATACTGAAATGGCAAATGTGTGTTGAGCTCCTTTTCCCTGTGCACAGCCACATGTCAGTTTTCTTGGGAAACGTTTAGAACATGAACCACTGATGTAATGCATATTCTTCTACAGCAAATCCGCAGTGCCAGCACCAGGGCTGCAGTGCATATCAGATTACTTAATTTAAAACTTAATTCACTGCTGAACTGGAAGGAAGCATACATAAAATAGCCACAGGCATAATAACCTACGCGTAGGAGGGGATTTCAGTGGACCTATAATCATAACAAATAACACAGTTTCAGATTGCAGCTATAAGAAAATTTGGAGCAAGTCCATGCTGCCACAAAGACATTCCATGGAATATTTACACATTTTCTGTTAGGAAGATAAAATTAAAACCTCATTCTGACACACATACAGGTGAAACTCGAATAATTAGAATATCGTGCAAAAGTAAGTGCAGTAAGTGCTGCAAAAGGGGCCCAAACCAAGTACTGAGTACATATGCATGCTTGTACTTTTCAGAGGTCCGATATTGTTCTATGTACAATCCTTGTTTTATTGATTGCATGTAATATTCTACTTTTTTGAGGTTGTGGATTTGGGGTTCTTGGGGTTTTCATGAGCTGTAAGCCATAATCATCACAATTATGACAAATCACGGCTTGAATTATCTTGCTTTGCATGTAATGAGTCTATCTCATATATTAGTTTCACCTTTTAAGTTGCATTAGTGAAATAAATGAACTTTGCACGATATTCTAATTATTCGAGTTTCACCTGTATTAAACATTCAATATGGCTTTAATAGAACAAGAAGGCTGAAAGATTAATATTTTCATGAGGGGTTTCGAAAGGGGGATTTAAATTATTTTCACTCAATAATAATTTACTTCCTACGCAGATGTATCAATACAGATGATTGCCTTAAGTCCATTTTCTATTTTCTCAGGAAGTGGGAAGGCTCTTTACTTTGGGAGCTGTGTCCACAAACAGAGGTCACTTACCCCATAATGTTGAGGAAGAGCTTTTTCTGGGTAGAATGAGTATCATCAAGGCAGATGTAAGGCTTGGCTGAGGACTCAACGGAAGCTCATTTAAAATCCATTAATTTTAATGTGTTTTCAAAGCCATAGATTTATTCACCACCTGCAGTTTTACCTCTTCAGATGTCAACAAGGGTCTATGTAGGTTCAAAATAATTTGGGGGCACATATTTTGACCATGCCCACTCCCCCTTCCCTATAATTCTGACACTACAGCATATACTATGTTTCTTAGCTGTGATCCATTAAAGAAAATATTCACATTAATAAATTACAGCCTGCAATGTTCAATACTTACCTTCTCCCTTGTTCCAACTAAATGCGCAGCCCTTTCTTTTGGAAATGTTCCCACTGGCTCTTCCTATTAGTGCACATGCAAACCACCGCACTATTCATTCATATGGGTGAGCTGTATTCTGCTGGAGGGCTCAAATACAGCAGGAACAGGAATGAATCTGGCCATGGTGAATGTGTGAACTAAGAAGTATAGCCGGTGGGGACGTTTTTGGAAGAAAGGCTGTGCAGATCAGCCAGGCAGGGCCGCACAGTGCAGATCGCTGGAATGGGTAGCAAGGTAAGTATTTAACATTGTGTGCTGTACTCAGTGGGTGGGGGATATTCTTAAAGAACAAATGAACTGGTTCTTTGAAAACGAAAAGGGACAGTGTCTGTGTAAAGCTCATCCTCCAACCAATTTATAGCTGCTTCATCAGTGTTCATGCCCAGCTCAGTCTTTGGCCACAACTGCCAAATGCCTGGTGCTTCCTGGTATAGGAAAGCATGACCTCGGGCCTAGCCACCAATTTCTAGCCCTGAGCACTGTCATATGACAGAGGGGTGGACATCAGTGCTGCCTCTGAACTCTGGCAAAAGCCAACCATGGGTATTCCAGTGGTAGATTCAACAAGAGAAGTAGCAGGGGAACAGTGTTTAACAGGGGAAGTCTCATAACTCATATATGTCTGCAAGTTTAAAGATGATAATGATATCAGAACCTGCAACAGAACTGCAAGCACTGGGTATGTCTTCTGGAATTCATAGCATATCTGGTGCTGTTTGTTTTACAATCTCCTATAGTCTCCTCTGGTCATGGGGTCTCTGGGATGTTCCTGAAGTTGTTTTAAGGTACATGTATGCATTTCATTTATTTAGATACACTATAGTCATTTTTGTTTTCAGATAGCACAGGAACAATATCAATATCATTGAAATAAGAACAATATCAACATCACTGGTCCATTGGCAGAGTGTCCTGGTGTAGAACAGCTCTAAACATGTGCTTGTTTGAATTCTGGGCTGATGGGCAGATAATGTGTATGCTTCATATATGATTGGAATCCATGATGTATAACCAGCTGGAATATGTGCATCTGAAATGCAGACCTTACTCCTCTGAGGCCTTGTACATAAACATAAGAGCTGTGTATACAACCACGTTTTTGCAAAACCTTTAGTAAGCTTAGATTTGACTGTCACATTAAACAAGTGTTAGAAGGCTTTCTGTCAGCTTTGGCATTCCTTGAATCTTGCTGAAAGTCTGCTGAAGTCTTCTAGCAGATTGTTAAAAGGTGATGATAAACACACATATGTGTGTTTCACATGCCCAACTAAAAGCAAATGCTCTGTAAAAGCGTTCTGTTCACACTGGTCTTTTACACACTGAAGCCCTACAGGAAGTAGAGCCTGCATTTGAGGCCCCCAAAAAATCTAACTGGTTGTACATCTCTGCCTATCAGTCTAGGAATCAATCAAGCACATGATGAGAGCAGTACAACACTAGGATCTGCTTAAAAAAGGACCCTTTCCCATCACTGTCTGATAAAAAAAAATACAGGTACAGGTGGCAGCATGTACATTGAAACATCTTCAGGAATGTCCCAGAAAGCTGCACATTACAGTGATGGGGCAATAAAGAAGTCCAGGGGGCAGTGCACAATTTTACAAGAATCCATAATTTGCATATGGTGGTTTTAGGGCTCCCCAGGCACCTACAATTTCCTTATATTATTCTTTTATCCAGGTTACCAAATTTTAGGTAGTGGCAGGTGTACCTTAAAGATGAATTAGGTAATTTTGCCTCTGTAAATTAAAATTTTCACCGCAATTTTTACAAAGTAAAACAATTTTTAGGTACCCCTCCAGCTGTCACAGAAAAACATGTCATATTATAGAAGAATCTATTCATTAACAGCTGCAAGTTCATGTGTCGTAAGGTTTATGTCCCATCCTTCCTTCAATCAGCACTGATCATTTTCCTTTTGGAATGACTTCTGACGTCATTCAGTAATTATATTTCAAAATTAGCACTGACACCCCTCCCATAAGTCTTCCACAAATTTACTGGGAGTGACAGGAAGACATCATTTTCTCCTCTACACCTAAAGGTTAGAGGCAGGGTAATGCTAATTGTCTATTCTAGGAATTTCAGGCATAGAAATGGACCAGATCATCATATCTTAAAATGACAGCTAAAGAATAATGTAAAACATTCGGAATATTCATTGCAAATCAGCAAATATTACCTTTTATTTCTGCATTTGGACATGCAAAGGCAGGCACATTCACTGTTTTCTTTTTGAGATGGGCAGGGGGTGATTAATCATAGATAATAGTACACATGCAACATTTAGAAGTTCAATAAATCTACACTTACATAAGTGCTTTTAATTGTGTTAAAATAGTAAGACAACAGTATAAATCGTGAAACATGGAACCATATGACTGTATGCTGGAAAAGAGTAATTGTAATTGCCTGAAAATTGTCAGGTGTTTGGCAAAATAAGATTTTCAACCATAAACCATAAAGTGGTGAAACCCTTGCTCGGTATCAGCAACAGCACTCTCTTTTCTCTGGCTGCAAGCTACCATCCCGGTGTTAAGTTACTGACTCGAGTAAAGGTGCCCATACACTGCATGATTCTCGTACGAGAATCGCGGGAAATCCCGCGATCGTACGAGAATCGTGCAGTGTATGGAAGACGTGCAACCGTTTCTACTGTATGGTCGCACGTCTTCCGTCGAACCAGCAGGCTAGAAAACCCGCCGGGAATCGTACGATTCTCGGCGAGTTAGTGGCCTGCTGGTTCGACAACTGCCGAACGGGCCGGTGTGCGCACGCGCACACAGCCCGTTTGCAGTCATCGTACGCCCGCCCCTCATTGCAGTCATCGTAAGCCCGCCCCTCAGATGGGCAGATCGTACGTTTTTTTAATCACTTTATGACCATCGCAAGACTAAGGTCTTGCGATGGTTGTACAGTGTATGGCCACCTTAAGGCAAAGTAATGCTCACTGTCTGAAGCCTCAGAAGGGATAATTACTGTGCAGGCTACTTTACACTTGTGCTATGAGCTCCCTGGGTCTTCCATACAAACTGCCCTGCCTAACTGATAAAGCCAAAACCACTTTGGGGTTCTTTTAATGGCACAGCCCTCCTCTCCAACAACAATTTAGGCAGCCACCACTTATTCTACTAACACTAAGACAAAAAGGCAAAATAACGTGTGTCAGCACAGCCAGCAAAAGCTGCTATAATTTGATATGCTGGTTAGCAATGTAGCAGGGTGCAGTAACATGATGGCAGTCCTGAGCATCCTAAAAACTCATGACTAAAGGATGTACACTTTTGAAATCTGGTAGAACTAAAAATGGCTAGACTGTCCAAATAAAAAGTTGACATGTGGTTACTCCAGTTTACTCAGGTCAACCAAAAATTCAGCAGTTGGCGTAAAGAAATCTAAGTGATCTTAATGCTAGTTTTGCTGAAAACTGTTTAATCAGGGGTAACTTCTGCTGGGCCCAAAGATATGAGCATCTGTAGACTGGGCCGTAACCTTCAAGGTACTCTAAGACATGGCCCATAAAAGCCCCATATGAAGAAAATAATAAATCAAAGTCCCAAAAACAAAGTCCCAGAGCCTACATGAACTAGATTTAATGTTGTAAATACATTCCAGATGCAGTAAAACAGTAAGGGAGTCTATTTAAAAACAATTTGCAGAACCATTCGCTCTGACCTGAACTCTGTGAACATTCGTTCTGTGTGAATAGAGGAAAAAAGGAATGTTCTTTGTATATTTTCTTTTGAGGTTGAATGTAATTTAATGTTATACTGCATTACAGCCACTAGATGGTGCTGAGGAGCATAGGAAATAAGTACTTCTCAGTTCTATCTAGTGGCCATATTCCGGTATTACACAACGTTCAACCTGAAAAGAAGATATATGAAGAATGTTAGTTTTTGCTTCTATTCACACAGAACAAATGTTCATAGAAATTTGCTGGAGGAATTGCTCTGCAAATTGTTTATAAATAGGCCCTTATGTGATCATTTATTATAGTTATTTATATAGCTTCGACAATTTATGCAGCGCTTTACATTCACATCAAAAAGTCATAAATCCTGTAGCACTCCTTACCGGAAATCCCCCAAAAAGTAAAATGACAGCGGATGGAGCCACACACAAAACAGCTTAAAATGTAGATGTCACCAGCACTGACTTATGAGCTTCTGTCGTGCTGGTGTCATCTAAATTTTTTACATTCACATCAGTCACTGCCCAGGAGGAGCTTACAATCTAAGTTTACTAATCTAATTCAGACAAGAGCCAGTTATCCTACCAGCATTTCTTTAGAGTGTGGGAGAAAACCGGAGTACCCAGAGGAAACCCATGCAAACACAGGGAGAACATGCAAACTCCTTGCAGATAGTGATCTGGTTGGTATATGGACCGGGGACACCCAGTGCTGCAAGGCAGAAGCACTAACCACTACACCACTGTGCTGCCCACCTTACCACTGGTTTAGGTTATAGAGAAACCAGAACCATAGGAGGAAAGCCTGTCTCCCACCAGCAAACTTGAGAGAAGGATCGCTGCTCTCTGTGTTGAAGCAGTGGTCTCTCTATGTACACCTTGCATAGTAGGAGCTAGAGTTATGCAATCATCAGGGAACATTAGCTTTGCTTATTAGAGAGTTCTAGTTCTGACTCATCCAGGGACAATCATCTGTCCCAAACCAAAGGTAATCATATCATGTACAATAACATGCGGACTACCATTGACAGATATGGTCGCTGTCACCATGTCGTTAACATATAAACCGTTCCATAGGTTCTTGCTGCAGGAATTGCCAGCCACAGTATGAAGCCCAGTGTGACTAAGGCAGTGTACAACATTAAAAATAAGAGTTCCATTGGGTTTTAAGGGAAAGAGTATAAGGCAAAGTTTGCTATTAGTATATTTATACAAACCAATAAAATAATTTAAAAAAACTCACCTTGGACAATGTGATGCTGGAGCCTGAAAAGGGCACATTTGTTCTACGGTTGTTTCACACGTCACAGCCTGAACTAGAAAACACATCATTTATGTAACTATGTAGCTTACACATATTACAAAGGTTATAAAACAATACATTTAACCAATATAAAATACTCACAGGCTACTTTGGAGATTGTGAATGAGTTTGCAGACTGATATTTGCTGTTGAATAAATAAAATAATGATTTTAATTGTTAATATTATTAAATTGTAACAAACATGTTGTCACATGTCTTGTGTTAATGCATCTTATTATTATATATTTGTTTTATTGAATGACAGCACTGTTTGAATGACATTGCTTACCCGATTGACTGGATCCCATTTCTATAGGATTTGATGAAATAATTTTTTCTTCCTTGTCTTGTGACATCCACCCATCCTCCATCATTGTCTATTACACCAGCATGTATGGCTGCTCTGCAAATGCTTGATTGCTGCAATAAGAAAATTCTCACTAAATTTATTAACATTACTAATTTACATGTACCCAAACGATTATTATTAAAATGGCCCTTTCAAAAACTTTACAAGCCTGCATGAATACATTCCTGACATATTATAATATACAGCAACAGTATGATTTTTCCGAAAATGTCCACCTTTTATTATTAAAGAACAGTCTTTGAGCTCCAGTGAAGTGACATTGCTTAGGCTCAGATGAAATCATCAGTCTATAAGCAATAGGAAGCATTTCCTCAGTCTCCTCTCTCCCTCTAATCAGACAGTAACAAGAGAGGCTACAGTATGGGGCTGATCACAGTCTCAAACAATTAATCCCCACACAGCTACCTCCTCATGTATCACTTCCCCCTCCCTTTTAGATTGTAAGCCGTCATGGGCAGGGCCCGCGTTAACATCTTGTCTTGATTTGTATTGTGATTGTAATGTCTTCCTTATATTGTAAAGCGCTGTGCAAACTGTTGGCGCTATATAAATCCTGTATAATAATAATCTTTGACGGACATCTGTGAACTGCACAGACACCATGGTATAGCATCTCTGAGCCAACATCAAAGTCCAGGATGTAGATGCTGAACCTTGATAATGACTGAACAAAGATGGCTCCTTCTGGAGAGAAAAGCAGATGAAGGAATTGTGAGAGGAAATACCTGGAGGTCTTACATTTACGCAACACTTTACATGTATACATATAAAGTACTGTATCTGATGATGGGTACACTTAAATATAAAACAATGCAAATTGTTTACTATTCAGTTAAAAACAACTCTATAAAGTGATGGGTTTGCCTTTATACACAGGCAAAATTGTACAGCTCATTTATAAAATGTCAGATTTACAAATGATTTAGCCAGTTAAAGGAGAACTATTGGGTTAAGGCTTTTCCCCATAGTTCTTCTTAGGGTAACGGGAGGACACAAACTAGCGTCCTCCCGTCACCCTAGGCTCAGTATACCGCGAGCTGTAGCTCGCGGTATACTGAGACGCCGCACTATATGTACTATATGTATGTACTATGACGCAGTATATGTATGTACTATGACGCCGCAGCTGAAGCGGATCCCGACAATTATGTCTTGATCCGCCCAGCTGCGAAACAATTGATAGGTAATACAAAGGCTTACAGTTGCCACTGGAACAGAAAGTGAGAGGACATTTTCCAAAGGGGACATCTGTGGCAGTCACAACTAATATTATCCCTTACTTCCTTTGTGTTTCCAGGAGAGGAAGTGAAAGGAAATTGCCGCAACAGAACACAAACAAAAAAAGAACACTGACTGCGGTTTTAACTAGGGCTGCAACAACGAATCGATTAAATCGATTATAATCCATAATGAGAACAGTTGCCAAAAAGTAGAAGATATTCTTACCATCTCATAATGAACACTTCCTATTACTTTGGCTGTGTTCTCCAAACAGCCAGCTGAACATTCATATCTGTGAATTCAAACAGAACACATGTAAATGAACATTACTCCTCTGGTCCTGTAAGATAACACTGTTCAGAAGTTCATTTGTACAATATACAGTGTTGATATTTTGAATTAGCAAACAAATGACATATACACTACTTTATAGCATAGCTAGAGCCGCATTAATTAATTCTGGATTTAGTAGGGGAGGATTAAAACTTTATTTGTTTTTGTCATCTGTCACATTAGGGAGTTTTTCCTTCCTTGTCCTGTAGACTCAACAGAAAGTGAGAGGATATCTTTCCATTGTAAGGAAACTTTCCTCTCAGAGCGATGTTACTGGAACAAGTATCCCTATTGAGAGATTCCCTCTCTATTTCTGTTCTGGTGGCAATTCGAAATTCTGGATTTACCCTCGCCTTTATTCCCAGTAACACTGCTGATCAGAAGAATTAAAGAATCTCCCTAACACACACAGCAATAAAAACCTGACAGTGGTTCTAACCTCTCACCACTCTATCCAAATAAAAAAAAGTTGTACTTATACTTTAACTTTTCATAACCCCCCTGCAAACCAGACTCAGGCTTATTAAGCCTCAGTTAGCAGGGCAGTGGTCATTCATATTCCAGTCACTGTACTAAAGGAGGAAAAGTTGCACAAGGAACAAAAGGAACTGCAGGCTATAAACAGTGGTGTCACTCTCTGGCCATGTAGTGCGGCAGGCGAGTGTAAACCAAAATTGCTGCTTAAAGCCCATTGCCAGGCAAACAAAAAAGTGCCCTTGCAGTGCTTGGAGCAATGGTCTTGCATGTTTTCATTCTGCAGAAATAATGCAGAATAACTTCATGGAAATTATTTTTTTTAACCAAAACATGGTATTATGGGGGATTCCCACATTCTGAATGGTTAATGCATTGACGTTAGACATGGTAACAGGCCGTGTTACAGTGTTTCATTTTTGTACATCTATTAATTAACCACTCAGAATTAGAAAATTCAAGTATGAAAAAAACCTAAACAGGTCTTGTTATGAAGGGGAAAAAAGATGCAGTGTAGGAAGGCACACACATTGGATGCCTCATGGCCCGGGCTTTTAATTGCATAGGTGCCTGTTATGGTAGCCTGGGGTGGCTAGCAATACTACTCTTTAATACACCCAGCCCTTTATCTCCAATATTTATCTCCAATAAGTATCTCTAATATATTCAGCCTAAATTCCTAAAATAAATAGTCTGTGCCTGAACTGTACATTTTAGGTTTAATGCTGTTTCATTAATGGTACACAAAATCAGCAACAACAGTAAACCTTATCATCAATGTAGAAAAAAAACATTTGTTGGCAGAATATATTTGCAAAGATGGATTTTATCTGACAAATAGATTGCTAGTAGCCAATCACCTGTTGCATGTTGTCCCTTTACACTGGTCCCTCAGCCGTACTTCACAAGACACGATCTGAGCTGTAAATTCCAAGCAAAGTATTTTACTCACACGTACCAAAATAAGGGACATTTAAATTGGTGTTCCCTTTGTGGAGATTTATCCTCACTGCCTGAGAAAGTGACTATACACAGTATATGAGGGGAATAGCCCTAACAAGGATAAAACCAGCAATAAAGAAACTCACAGATGTTCTTACCTCTTCACATGCTACAAATAATAGGATGTTTGTACTCACCATAAAATCCCTTTCTTTGTGTTCATTGAAGGACACAGCTGAATTATTAAAGGAGAACTATGAGGTGAGTGATTTTCACTCATCCTCATAGTTAGAGCCGACGTGTGACAATGAAACTGTCACACGTCGGCTCTATTGATCGGGAAGTGAGCTCACTTTCCAATCATCTCCCTGCAGAGAGCGGTGACTATCAGTCAACGCTCCCAAGTTTTGGGATTTGTGTATATGATATTGTATTACTACTGTCTGGTGAATGTAAAGCAGCCGCACACTTTAGGGCTGTCTCTATCTAATTAATAGTCCATACAGAGTTATGTGAATTAGTGACAGGGAGTGAAGTGTGTCCCTCTATTCAATTCAATCATCTGTGTGTCCCCAAAATAGACCGGAACAATAGGGGATCTCTTTACAGCACAGACATAAAGAACTGTAGAACAATTTTAGTCAGTAGGCTCTAAAACCCCACCTGTTGGTTGCATAACTTTTGTCCTGAACATAATAAAGAATTAAACACTATACACATACAACAAACAGAAACATTTGTTTCTTACACATTTGCTCTGTGCTGACTACTTCATTGCTATCATAAGCATCAGGCCTGGTTGAAGACGTTGGGGAGTGAGTTCTCGCTCTGCTCTGTGAGGTGGTATCAAGAGCTTTTGATCGCTGCCTCTCAATTTCATTTGTCTCTTCTTCCGGTTCAGGTATAGGATAATGAAATTCTGAACCTTCTGTGAATAAATGTAATAGAAATTTCACATTATCAAAAACGAAATGCATTCCCTTTAAAATGTATTTTCAGAATTAGCCCTGGATGCTCCCTGTCTTGCATGATGGTAACGGTCCCAGAAGTAGATTCTATACGCTGAAGTGACCTTGTTTGATCTCCAGGAACAAGCCTTCCCGAGACCAGTAATAAGCATCTTCCCTATACGGCTGCCAACTGTGTAAATCTCAACCTAATTACTAGTTGAGGTTTAAAAAAGAAGACTTTGGTTCACTGGAGACCACCAAACTATTTCTCCTGGGGACATCAAGATGGCCATTAATCCTTGTGTTAGGAGGCATGACTCCAGTGCTGAAATGTCTTACAAAATCTGGATTATTCACTATGAATGGACAGATATATCAAATACATGGTCCTTTCACAGCAATAGGTAAATATTATTATCCACAGCAGAGTGCCAAGCTATTTAGAAAAACAATACCCTACAGGTTATTTTTAAGGTCTGGCTATTGGATAAAATTATCCAAACAGTGTACATATTCATTTTCAATATGACCCTGCACAAATTTGGCTAATATGGGCCAATGTTTTCACGAGTACACAGAAATCTCAAATTAACTCCCTTCTCATGTAGCCTTTTTTTGCCAAGTTATAATTTTGTATATAACTATACATGTCAGATGCATAACCAGGATGGCCTTGAAGGTCTCCGGTGTACAGAAAAAAAAATCTCTGCAGTTATAAATGGAGATGTTTACAGAGTCCTAAAATGTACCCTATTAATTTTGATCTCTTTAAGTGCATCTTAATCTAAAGCTTTTTCTTTACACATTCAGTTTACTAATTTGTATTGAAATTATAGTCTATCACAGTCTACTTTACAACACACACAAGGACATGGGGAACAAAAGTAGCCACCCTCCAGGAGGAAGGACAGTGTCAGCACCAAATTAGAGATGATTTGAGGATCTACAGCCAAGTGATACACAAATAAACTACATTTTTGTTAACAGGGTACTTAAATACATTTTTAAGATTTAACTCCTCAGTTTAGTGTCACATTAAGGCAGGGTTCACACCTAGGTGACAGCGTTTTTCTGCGTTTCTAAGTGCATTTTTGATGCACATAAATCAAGTTGCGCGTTTTTGTGAGCAGATTCTAGCTCATTGATGTTGATGGGCAGACATGTGCAAAAACACAGCAAACGCGCATTTATGAATCTATGGGGCCAAAACGAGCTGTAATGTGCCAAAAAAAAGCTCATGTACTTTTTCTAGGGATAGTCATTTTGCTTATTGTGACAAAAATGCTCAGATGGGAACAGGACCATAGAAGTCAACGGGATTTTTGGGGGGCACATTTTTTGTGCGTTTTTTTTAGGGCAGAAAAAGTGCGACAAAATGCTCAATGTGAACCAGGCCTAAGGTGCAATCACTGCTTAGCACAGTTCTTTAATCAAAAGAGTTTCATCAGAACATGCTGCAACTACTGTACATTTAATCAGCAAACTGGTGCATATATTTTTCTTTATTCTACTATGCTTTTTAAAGGGTCAGACTGCCCAAAATTCCAGGTATTGGTAGAGGCTAATTGGGTGAATAGGTTTCTGGGACTTAAAGTGTATTTCCACTTTTGCAGTCAAATTGGCATTAAACCTATTTTATATTTGTTACATGTTCCCATTCACATAGCATAAGCTAAAAAAAAATATTTTAAAAATGCTTCCTGCAGTTTAAACTGCTTTTACTTGGGTTAGTGTTTTAAAGGTTAACATTTCTGTTTGCTTATCTTTCTGTGTAATGTTAGGAGAGGCTGTGACGGAGAAGGGGTCTGAGGTGGTTTGTCCATTGTATGTTAATTAATTGAATGAGAGAAACACAATCCTCAAATTTCAATCCTAAGCCTTTTCATTAGGACAGATCACCACGAAGGTGCTAAGAAAATCCTGGAATTGGCCATCTTTTCTTGTTTAACAAAACATCTAAAAAGGCAAGAAATATTTTTTTTCATTGTTTTTCTTCATGCTCCGTGAATGGGAGCACATAACAAACATATAGAGGGGTTTTCTCAAATTTGACTGCAAAAGTAGAAATACACATTAAGTGGAGCTGCATTCCTAGCTTTGACCTTGCCGCTATGGAGTAATATTCTCACTGCTGTATAATCCAAAATGCAAAACACATGAAAAATCTAGTGGGATGCAAGACCACCATAATAGTCACAGCAGGTGGGCAGCGCTTTCAGCACCATCTCTTCTTTCATTGTTCGGAGAGATTCAAGAATCTTGTACGTGATTACCCCTGGTGGCATCTATCCAAGATTGAAATGCGACAACATATTGCCACTTTATCTATGTATAAGACATTATAATGATATCATAATTTAAACACGCAAGACAGAAGAATATTGTACACATCAAAATTGCTGCACATTACTAAAGGTTTAATAAAGCTGATCCTCTGATCCAAGACAAATTCAGGTACTTACACTGTTATTATTAAAAAAATAAATTTAATGTATAAAAGAATACCGTATATACTCGAGTATAAGCCGAGTTTTTCAGCCATTTTTTGTGCTGAAAAGTGCCCCCCTCGGCTTATACTCGAGTCAGCATCTCAGTGGTCAGGTTTCTTCTTACTTACCTCGCCGAGCGTCGCGTCACTGCTGCTCCGGTGGGCGGCGCTCCGAGCGGGGTCATCTGGCAGTCTCCGGGTCCTAATTTAGGTTAATTAAGTGAATGAGAGAATCACAATCCTCAATTTCAATCCTAAGCCTTTTCATTAGGACAGATCACCACGAAGGTGCTAAGAAAATCCTGGAATTGGAATTTAGGTGGCCGGAGACTGCCAGATGACCCTGCTCGGAGCGCCGCCCACCGAAGCAGCAGTGACGCGACGCGACGCTCGGCGAGGTAAGTAAGAAAAAAAACCCTGCAGCGGCTAGTCAGGAGCAGGGGAGCAGGGATGAGTCAGCGGCGCGCTGGTCAGGCGAGAGGAGCTCCAGGTGGGGTTGTAATTTAGCGGGCAGGCACCTCTAAGTCAGCTAAATTAGGACCCCACCTGGAGCTCCTCCCACTGGACCAGCGCGCCGCTGACTCGTCCCTGCTCTCTCCGGTGATGTGTTCGTAGTTTTGATCGATCACCGGCACACGGACACAGTGAGTGAGGGGAGATTTGGGGGGATTTATTAAGCAATTATGTATTGTCTGCACTGTATTAGCAGTATATACTCTATATAGAGTATATACTGCTAATACAGTGCAGACAATACATTTACAATTATACTAACATGAATGGATTAAATGATCTGTATGTAGCCCTGTACTATGGATCATTTAACCCATTCATGTTAGCAGAGGATCATTGTAAATGTATTGTTGCAGGCACTCTATATGTACATGTACTATATACTACATATAGAGTGCACTGAACAATAGATTTACAATTATCCTCTGCTAATATGAATGGGTTAAATGATCCGTAGTACATGATATGTAGCCCTGTACCCCCTTTTCCACTTACAGAGCTAGGTTATTGTTTTTCTTTTAAATAAATATTCATGTAATTTTATTGGTATCTATCTTCATTTTGTACATTTACCAGTAGCTGCCTCATTTCCCACCCTCGGCTTATACTCGAGTCAATACTTTTTCCCAGTTCTTTGTGGTAAAATTAGGTACATCGGCTTATATTCGGGACGGCTTATACTCGAGTATATACGGTACATAGCTGCATTTATTTCTGCATAATCTTTTATCTCTTCCTTGAGTTCCTCTACAAACATCACATATGTACCTTTGTAACAAAGATTGTCTCGGCATCCGCCTCCATAGCTGGGTGGGCAAGCAGAGCAAGAGCGGCCATGTTTATAAGGAGCATGTCCCCACCAGTTTCCCCTTTAGAAAAAAAAGGTGAAAATAATGTAAATCAATACGCACTTTTACTGCTAATTCCTTATTTTTGTTTTGTTGCAAGGGACAGATTCGGGGTACGGGGTTCTAGAATCATGCTAAATGTAACCTGCAATATAATGCTGTGCATAGAAGCCTGTAAAGTGTTGGTTTTCCACTTCTGCCAGTGTTCCTGTGGAACTCCCTTTCACTTCTGCAATTTTACTGACACATCAAAAGATTCTCCATGGATGCTTTTTTGCCAGGAGCTTTGCCTTGCTGTTTTTGTGGAGAACACTGCAAAGCCTGTCACTGCTCCCTTCTCGTGGTCACTAGGCTCACCTAGTTCAGAACCACTACAGGGGAAATCAGAATACAAAGCAGCAGGAGAAATGAACTGCAGTTCACCAGTCTCCTTTAGGCCTAATGAACGCAGAAGTGTGCTGCTTTGAGCACTTCTATGTTCAGGGCACCTAAATTCCAGTTGCAGCACTGCTTAAGTAGCAGATTGGAGACTCTGCCTGACGCACATTTATACAGAAGAGCCTATTGTGCGACACATATTGGGTATTCTCATGCACACCAGAGGAAGAAGAATGATTTTAGGGCAGTTGTTTAGTAGAGCTATGACCTTCTATTAAAAAATATATGTGCTGCAGTATTTAACTCTAAGTACATCTGAACAGTTTTCTATTGGTCCCCTTGCAAAGTCACACAAAGATCTGTTGAGTCTGCCAGTGAAGTCCACTTACTACACCTTCTTGTGATAGTGTGACAACCAGGGCCAGATTTACTCCACCTGCCGCCCCAAGGCCAGGTTCAAACAATGCTGCCCTTCTCCTGAATTCAGAGCAGAGTTACCACTCTTGTGTAGGCTGTGCCAGATTACATTACAGTGGGATGGGAAGATGTTGCAGGGGGCGTGGCAATCAGCATTGTCACTTCTGATTAACAGTCCTATAGTTTGTCAATCAGCACCTGACCACACCTAATGCTACCCACTGCTTTTTGAATTGACAGCAGTGCCTCTGTTTCTGAAACCCTTCTATTGTGAGCTGCAGTGTCTGGGAAAGGGAGTGTGTGATGCACAAACGGAATTTTTGAAGGTAGAAGCTTTTTGCTTACTTTATGAAGCTTGTATATTACGGAGTAACTTGATTTGCTGCTTGTTTTGATTGCCATACAGAGGCCTTTAGTTGTACTTTAACTGTAAAGTGATGAACTTTTTTTTATGCGTTGCCTACTTACAATTCTGGATATCGTAGTTTCTCAATACACATGATTGATATATTTGTAATTTATTGATGTGATACAGTCTTATTTTTAAAATTCAATGAAATTCATATATGTTTGTGTAAAAAAAAATTACTTTCAAAAACATTTCTGCAAAATTTCCACTTCTTGGTGATTTTTTATTGCCTTTAATTTTTTTTTTTTAACATCTACCTAAACAATTCCTAGGGAGAATATAGCATTGTCAGATAAGATCAAAATAAAACTGTGCATTCCATCTGTTACAATGCAAAACTTTTAGAAATACACTGGCATATTGGTGACATTAAGCACATTAAATAACAAAACACAATATACTTGTACTTTAAAAATGTGATTTTAGAATAGCAATTAAAAAGTGATCTTACTTACTTTGGAGAATAATTGCACACTAAATATATTGCCTTTGGCCAGATTTGCCCCCAAACGTTCATGTTGTGACAAAGGTTTATGGCACAACCAACTCTGCTACTCGTTGCCCAAACCACCTGAACAGAAAAATATAAACACATTACATGACCAACTAGATTTAAATAGATTATGTTTAGTTTAAATTCAAAATTACAATCATATGTACATGGCACAAACCAACTGTACAATAAATTACATTTGTATGTGTGGAATTGTCTCCCTTTTTGAGTACACATAAGCAGTGGAGTTAAAGGGTTTCTAAACCCTCACGTTTTTTTTTGCATATATCTACTGCTAGCAAGCAGTAGATATATGCAAAAAGTTTTTTTTTTTTAAATGCTTTAAAAGCAGTTTAAACATACCCGTCTTCGCCGCGCGCTCCCGTCCGAAAATCCAAAAATGCTCGGGCGGCCGCAAAGCATTTTGGGGCGGGCGCATGCGCAGTTTGGATTTTCGGCCAGGAGACGAGGAGAGACACAAGGTAAGTCTATGGACGCGTGCATCCGCATGCAGACACCATGGAACAGAAAGTGCCAACAAGGACAGAGGAGTCAGCGCTGGATCGGAGACCCGCAGCAGCGCTGGAGAGAAGGCTGAAAAGGACAGGAAAGAAGAGGAAGAACGGATTAAGAGACATAATTTAAGGTAAGTGCTTTAACCCTTTCGCTGCCAAGCCCTCCGGAACATTTTTCAAATCAGCTGGCCAAGCCATTTTTGAATTTTCTGCAATTAGAGCTACTCTGAAACAGCAGATGGGCATGAGAATGAGGAGAGGGTGAGTTCTGCTCATCACACCCTTAAAGTGAAGCATCCCAAACTTATTTCTGAAGATGGAAATTGCGTTTAAAAACAAAATGAAATTAGCAAGAGCCCACCTGTGTATAATGAGTGCAAACTGGTCCTGAACATCTGAATGGGCAGTATGGGTTACATTCTTGTGGATATGGAAATGTGTAATCTTTCACTTCATCATACCAAGCCTGGACATGGTAGGTTGGAGGCCTGTATCTATATAGGAAAGAACATAAGAATGTTGTAGTTCCTCATATCACATACCGTATCATTGTCCGTTATTGCTAAGAATCTCAAAACCTACCTCCCCCAGTGAGCCCCCAGGTTCTGTCCAATGGATGGAAGCAAATTTGCTGGACCATGTTCCCATAAACAAGTTAACGCCCATTCTTCAGCAGAGCGTTCTAGCTCTACGTCCCATACCTACAAACAGTATATAATGACATACCTCAGACAGGAGACAAGAAATTGTTCAGGTCACATTTATGTTATGCTTTATTTTAAGTATGAGTATCATATTCAATGATAAATGAAGCCCACCTACATCAATAAACATATAATTATTATACATAATACATCATAAATATAACTGCTTTTTTTGTACTTTTCTGCATCACTGTCCTCCATTAAAAATGTCCATTTTTCAGTAGAAAAGCTGATCTTTCTCTCTTTATGGACATACCATATCTTGATACCATGCCAAATGTAGTGACATCACCAAATCTCACTCCAAATCTCATAAGATTAGAAGTCAGAGTTAGCAGTGTCCAAGGTCTCACACATCAGTTATCCAGCTATAAGACTGTAGGCACAGGAGTGCCTAGGCACACTCACATACCAGGACATGCACGGCTACATTGCAGAAGGAATCCCAGACAAAAGGTAGATTTTGCATGATACTGCTCAAATCTTCACCATAACATAGCAAATCATCACTTTTTCAGTTCAGTGCCACTGTAACTAACCAAGCTAACCCAGGTTCACCCAACTCAGCTAGCAGCCGACGAAGACTCAAAGTTCAGGATGGATACGGATTTCCAAAGACAAGGCAAAGTACGGGGCAGACTGTAGACAAGAATTTCCAAAGACAAGGCATAGTACAGGGCAGACTGTAAACAGGGATTTCCAAGGACAAAGTGAAGCACAGGGCAGAATGTAGACAAGGATTTCCAAGGACAAAGCGAAGCACAGGGCATACTGTAGACAGCGGTTTCCAAGGACAAAGCGACTCACGGGGAAGACTATAGACAGGGATTTCCAAGGACAAAGCGAAGCACAGGGAAGATTGTAGACATGGATAGACAAGGACAAGTAAGAGGTCAGTACGCGGATAACCGACAACGCGCCGTGCGCTGCACTGGGTTTGAGTAGAGTAAGCAAGAGGAGGAACCGCATGATTGGCCGCCAGCTGACAGCACTGACTGACTGAGTGAGAAGCTGCATACGAATCAGCAGAGGAAAGCGGCTGACGCCTAAAGCTGTCAGACTTGTGGAAGAGCAAGTTAGGAAGAGAGTACATTCCTGGAGGCATACACAGCACAGCCTTACATGCCTGCAGGAGCAGGGGTAAAAGGCCTGCACATAGTCGTGGAGCTACAAGTGACAGCTCAGCTGCCACATTAAGGGAGTAACTATGTGCAATTCTAACAAAACATCTGCCTTGTAAAATTACCTCTGTAAAAAGCACATGCAAGGTGTTAAAAGTAAGTCACAAGCCATATTTTCTCAACCACAATGTATTTACTGTTGCCCCAATTTGTTTCACGGCAGCATCCTACAAAACTATTTTCTCTTGTTCTTTCACAAATATTTTCTGTTAATGCAATTTCCCGCTCAACATTTTTTTTTCCCCCTACCATCCAAAAAGAGGTTTTATATTCTGCTTTATACTTATTTTGGCCCTTGCTCGACACACTAGAGCTGCCATGTTGGCCTCAGAGAAGCTTTTCTCACCTCTTCAGCAGTTTCTTCAACTTGAAAAAGTATCTGTCCTCCGTTAATATAAGTTTAAATTATAGGTGTAAAACAAGGACACGTTTTGGTAACATAGCAACAGTATAGTTTTTAGAATAGGTTTTTCAACCATAAGTAGTTATACATTAAGCAAGGCCACAGCTGTGCAGTCATAGCCATATTCTATTTGAAGGCTATAGTATCATTCTAGGTCATTCAAATATGTGCATATGGACACTTGACTACACATTTGGAAAAAGGGCCAAAGTGCAAATAAGGGCAGGATTTTCGGTTTGTTTTCCCGAAGTGAAAGCCGCCCTTTCCTTTTGCCCACTTTTCAGCAACTTATGCTAATTATATGTTTATTTAATTATATGTTAATTATATGTTTTATTGTGGTTTCTGATCCTGCAAGGCTGCCTATATTTGCACATTTTGCACATATAAAAGTATACACTGTAGCTGCATTAGACTGCATAAACAGTTATGCTGAACAACACAGAGTGCACTATGAATGAATATATTATTCTTTTACATGTGTTTGCTTGATACAAGTTTTAACATTTTCTAAAATACCTTATTTGTCTCAAATAGCTATTTTCAGAGATGCATTTATCCACAGAAAAAATGGCCAAGCTCTCGAGCTCCTGGTTGAAAATCTTGCCTATGCTGGGTTTATTTCCACTTTCAGCTCCAGAGACAGTGTCTATTATGACAGATAAACTTCCAACAGCAAAGTTCCTCACCATTCTATCCAAAACTAATTTTAAAAAAAAATTAGAAAAAAAGTTTTGACTTCGGATGCATTTTTCAAAATCTAGATTCCAATTTATTTTGATTCAGCCAACAAGAGATTTTGAAAGAGGAATTGTAGTATCGAAAACATTGCCTCAGTGTTCTCTTATATACTCAACCCTGTTGATTTATGGTCAACTTTTTTGTGATCTTATGAGGGTCTCACTCCAGCCAACACCACTATTCAGAATAAGGATTTGGTGTCTTTTCAATCTCTTGAAATCTACTGACACCCAGGGTGGAGGCAGTGGCTGGCTGCAACTGCTTGTAGCTAATAATGCGGCAGTGTGACATAATACTGGGCCCACCCATTATAGAGTGATGCCCTGGTTTGAGAAGGGAAAACACTGTGTGGTTGTTGTATGTGTGCTTGTGTGATTGTGAGAAGGGACATTTACATTTACGCTCTTTCGGTGCAGGGACTATCCTATGGCAGCTTAGAACAGGAAGCTGGCCATATAACCTACGGGCCTAGAACAGGCCATATATCCTACAGATTTTTTATCACACCTTCCAGCCACCAGAAGACAGGCTCTATAGAGGACTTAATGATTAGCCCCTCTCCTAATAATGCCCTGTAGGGGCCACTTATATTAGCTGCTTGCACAAGCAGAATATGATGTAGATAGAATGCCAGGAGCAGGGTGTGAATCCCATGGTAATCTTGGTACTTCATCTTGTCTACATTTTTTAGACTAGGTGCATTGACAAATCTCTAATAATGAAAATCACTAATAATAAAAATATTTAGTAAAGTTTAATCTCCAAAGTAGACCTTATTTAGGGCCTGTGTCGACAAGCTTTTGTTCACATCAGAACCGCTTCTCTCCTCATAACAGTCAATGGGAATACAGAACCAGCTGAAGCAGGCCGATGCAGCTTACAAAGTTAACTGCAGGTCAAATGCTCCTGTCAATGAACAGTGAATGATCTCAGAAGCAAATTGATGTCAAACACAAGTGCATTATAGATTTTTGTGGTTATTGATTTACAAGGAACTTAGTAGTAGTTTTTATCTTCTTAAGGATATTAGTTTATGGATATTAACTTCTACTTGTGTGTATGTATACACACACACTGCTAGCTATGACCTTTTTCCTACTTATTACTTTATTAATCTACCATGAACTATATGGTCCTTTGTCCTGCCGAAACTGGTTATATGGTCAAACTGGTTGAAACTGGTTTCTAGCACAACACAAGCCCCTCAAAAAAAAAAAAAAAGATGTATATATAAGTGAAAGGCAAAGTTTGAGCTCATCCAGGGCTTAGGCAGAGTGCCTTGAAAAGATGGACTGTCGCTTCTAGGAACTTCCTTAAAAAGAAGTTCTGTACTGTACTATTAAAGTTTATTATCTGTAATATACCTACAGTATACAGCTAAGTAAATGTTTTTATTATTATACTATTTGTGAGTTGTTTGAATTATTGCACTATGCCCACAAATCTGAAAAGTTAAGTACAAGAACCTATTAACAAATAAATAAATGTGACAATTAGGGATGTCCCGATACCGATGCTAGCATCGGAATCCAGCCCGATACAGGGCATTTTGACAAGTACTTGTACTTGTCAAAATGCCCCGAAGCCTAGCGCCGAAGCTTGTGCTATGTTTTTTTTTAGGAGCTTAACCCTTTGTTACAATGAGCAGAATGTACTTGGCAGTATGCCAGTCAACACTGGCCCTTACATGTGGGTGAAAAACAAAACTGGCTGTTCAGTTCCAGTAACCATTAGACTGGTGCACCCCAACTGTCATTTTTGTTTGCTGGTTTGATGCAATGAGATCACAATAATTACTGACACTTCAAACATTCATTAATAAATGCAGTAAACTTAACTAAATACACAAATGAGCATACAAGAGGTGAACGTGTACCCTAGTATTTGGTGAATGTAAGAAGGTTTTACAATTAAACACATGAAAGGATAACCATATTGGTTTTTAAACAATTTGCCAATCCTGTAATGCATTGTTTTTCAAATCTGTGGGATATATTCCTCTGGTAGTAAAAGCTTTACTAGATGTAAAACATGGCAAAGTTTAGCACTTAAAGCGGAGCTTTGCCCATATCCCTAAAATAACAACAAAGGCACCTTTAGAAATGTTTAGTAATGACAATCTCTAAACACAGACTTCTAGATAATTGCCAGCTTTGTATTCTTTGCATACCTTATTTCTCTTTTCTTCGGCAGTCTTCTGGCAATGGCCATGTTTACTAAGGGCAGATTACTAGTTCCCTATTACTCCCTGAATTTCTGGCAGATGTGACTAGACATGTGACTAGGACATGTGAGCATGCACTAGTGGCGTAACCAGAGTTCTGGGTGCCCGGGGCAGAAATTTTCAAGGATATAGTATACATACCAGGTCCTCAATTATGTACAAACACTCAGCGATCACTGATCACTGAGTGCTTGTACCCGTTCTCCTCTCTGACACACACTGTCATAGGAGGCTGCAAGAGGAGAGCCCAGCCTCCTGTGACAGCGCTGGCTGTCTCCGCCCCCACACCGCTCTGCTGCACTGTGATAGGCGGCCGAGCGATGTGGGAGGAAAGACACCGGCCGCTCACAGCGCTCGTCCCGCAGCGCTCGGCCGGCTGTCATTGCTGCTGGGCACTGCTCTGTGTCCCAGAGGGGATGAAAGGAATCACGGCCGCGCCGACAAAACG